TCTGGCGCCCCGACCGGGACTAGAACCCGGTGTGCCAGCGCCGCAAGGCAGAGGATTAGCCTAGTGAGCTACGGCACCGGCGCATAAGGTTCTTAAAATAGTACTTTTTTTTTTTTAAGGTCAGAGAGAAAGAGAGGGAGACACAAAGAGAGAGATCTTCTATCCATTGATTCACTCTCTGAATGGCTGCAATGACCAGGGCTGGGCCAGTTTCATCCCACTCTCCCACACAGGTAGCACCTGAGCCTTCTTCCACTGCTTTTCCAAGGCCATTAGCAGAGAGCTGGATCAAAAGTGGAACAGGCTTTACACTATGCCACAATATCAGACCCTAAAATAGTATACTTAAAAAAGTAATATTGTAGAGTGACTAAAGAGTAAGCTTTATAATTAGACTATCTGTATTCAGAATCCCAATGCCAAAGTCTAATCGGCAGAATAATAAGCCAGTTTATATAGTTCTACTTTATAAACTTCACATAACCTTTTTATTCAACTATATAAAACTAATTGAAATATATATATATTATTTTTTCAAAGGATCTTCTGTGGTTTCATGAATGCTAAAAAGGGCTAAATTCCAGAGTAGTAGCCTCTTATTTACAATTAATGTAAGTCATCATTGAACATTGTACAGTCTTTTGTGGAAATCTAGAAAATACATGTGAATTAAAACTATATGACACAGTGGTGGGGGGCTGCTGTGGCATAGCGGGTAAGGCCACCGCCTACAGTGCCAGCATCCCATTTGTGCCCTGGGTCAAGTTCTGGATGCTCCACTTCCAATCCAGCTCTCTGCTAAGACAGTGGAAGATGGCCCAAGTCCTTGGGTCTCTGCACCTGCGTGGGAGACCTGGAAGAAGCTCCTGGCTCCTAGTTTCACATCCGCACAGCTCCAGCTGTAGCAGCCAACTAGGGAATAAACAGGTGGATGGAAGAACTCTCTCTCTCTCTGCCTCCCCTTCCCTCTCTGTGTAACTTTGACCTTCAAATAAATAAATAAATCTTTAATATACATATATGACACAATAAATTTAGTAAATTTATGGTAACGATCACTAGAAAATAAGCAAGAATTAATTTTTAAAAAAATTATTTATTTATTTGAGAGCCAGAGTGAAAACAGAAAGGGAGAAACAGAGATGTCTTCCATCTGCTGGCTCACTCCCCAAATGGCCACAATGGCAAGGGCTGGGCCAGGCTGAAGCCAGAAGCCAGGAACTTCCCCCAGTTCTCCCTTGTGGGTGCAGGAGTCAAGCACTTGGGCCATCTTCCACTGATTTCCCAGGTACCTTAGCAGGGAGCTGGCTTGGAAGTGGACCAGTCGGGACTCGAAGGATCACCCATATGGTATGCTAGCACCGCAGGTGGAGGCTCAACCTACTATAACACAGTCTCAGCCCTCAAAACTAATTTTATAAAGCCAACACAGTTGAGAATTTGAGAATTTCTTATGTATTGTTTAATCTTATTTCATGGAAGCTGTGGTACAGAGAAGTTAACTTGCTCAAGTTTGTATTTAACTAGTACTACAAAGGCACACAAAGCCTTACATAAAATTTAGTCATGAAGCTCTTGCATCCTTCATTACTTCCTCACCTTTATCCCCAAAGATATCGATTAGTATTTGAGCTAAGGCCCAAGGGTCCGCATTTTTAAGAAAGTCTTCATATAATTATTATTCTCTATACTACACTGTAAAAACCACTATACCATGAGCCAACGCTATGGCACAGAGGGTAAGGCTGCCACCTGAGGCTCTGGCATCCCATATGGGTGCTGGTTCAAGTCATGGCTGCTCCACTTTCAATCCGTCTCCCTGCTGGTGTGCCTGGGAAAGCAGCAGAAGATGCTCAAATGCTTAGGCCCCTGCACCAATGTGGGGGGCCCAGATGAAGCCCCAGGCTCCTGGTTTGGCCTGGCCAGCCCTGGCTGTTGCAGCCATATGGAGAGTGAACCAGCAGATAGAAGATCTCTCTCTCTACAATTCTAACATACAAATAAAATGAGTATATCTTTTTAAAAAAGTTAGTACACCATATGATCTTCATCTTCTGATTCTTATATTCTATTTTTCTCAATATTCTGGTCACTATACATTTAAAGGTATCCTAGAACTTGTAGGAATCTTATGTAAACCAGTTTATGGAGCCAGCTTATCCAGCCAACTAGCACACTGCCAACCTGGGGCACTGTTTATATCTAATTGGACACTCTCAACTCAACATAAGGATTTTACATCTGTAACAGCCACTTGCATAATTTTGGACCTATAGTAGATGCTGCTGCTTGAGTGTGTCTCAAGGCAGGAAACTGCCATGAAATTAGAGGAAAGGCTACAGTTTCTGATCTTCATCAAAATAGGCAATGGGGGGGCATAAGCTGCCCCTAAAGGAATGTGGCAGCCTAGACAGCAGGGGGCTGAATGGATGTTAATTGCAGGAGCATTTGAATGGACCTGTCTTTGAAGATTTACACCACAGTTCTGTTCCCAGTCATGGATCACCAGACTGGATTCCTTTCCCACCTAAAGTTGTACATCAACTGTGCCTATGTGCCAGCTAGCTTGTAGACTTGCTGATACCCTCTAATAGAAAGTGCTGGCCAAAGCAATCCAGGGCACACTCTTCAGGTGAAGATGTCCATGATCTGTCTCACTCATTTATGAAACCCCACACTAGAGCCTTCTAGAAAAATAATTTTATTGAAATATCATTAGAGGGGTTGGCACTGCGTTGCAGTGGGTTAAAGCCCTGGCATGCAGGGCAGGCATCCCACATGGGTGCCCATTCGAGTCTTGGCTGCTCCACTTCTGATCCAGCTCTGTGCTATGGCCTGGAAAAGCAGAAGATGGCCCACGTCCTTGGGTCCCTGTACCTGTGTGGGAGACCCAGAAGAAGCTCCTGGCTACTGGCTTTGGATTAGCTCAGCTCTGGCTATTGGGGCCATTTGGGGAGTGAACCATCAGACGGAAGACCTCTCTCTCTCTTTCTCTCTGTATGGCTCTATCTCTATTTGTAACTCTGTCTTTCAAATAAATAAAAATAAACCTTTTAAAAAAAAGAAATATCATTAGAAAAGTTATGCTCTGTATAAAAGCAATATAACTTGTAGTATATTTTAAAAGTTCATATAAATTAAACAAAGCCTTTGGTTAAAAATATTCTATATTTTTACAAGTTATAATGTTACCACTTGTTATCTCTGGGGATTGGTTCCATAACCAGGCAAGGATACCCAAACATATGGATATCCTTATATAAAATTGTTATTTTTGCATATAACTTATATCTTCTCATGTACTTTAGATCATCTCTAGATTACTTATAATATCTAATACAATATAAATAGTCATTATACTGCATTATTTAGGGAATAATATCAAGAAAAACATCTACATGTTTAGTATAGCTGTAGTTTTTTTAAAGATTTATTTATTCATTTAGCCGGTGCCGCGGCTCACTAGGCTAATCCTCTGCCTAGCGGCGCCGGCACACCGGGTTCTAGTCCCGGTCGGGGCGCCGGATTCTGTCCCGGTTGCCCCTCTTCCAGGCCAGCCCTCTGCTGTGGCCAGGGAGTGCAGTGGAGGATGGCCCAGGTGCTTGGGCCCTGCACCCCATGGGAGACCAGGAAAAGCACCTGGCTCCTGGCTCCTGCCATCGGATCAGCGTGGTGCGCCGGCCGCAGCGCGCCGGCCGCGGTGGCCATTGGAGGGTGAACCAACGGCAAAGGAAGACCTTTCTCTCTGTCTCTCTCTCTCACTGTCCACTCTGCCTGTCAAAAAAATAAAAAAATAAAAAAAATTAAAAAAAAAGATTTATTTATTCATTTGAAAATGAGAGAGAGAGAAAAGGACAGACAGAGAAAGAGAAATCTATCCATTGGTTCACTCCCCAAATGGCTCCAACTACCAGGGGTGGGCCATGCTGAAGCCAGGAGTGCAGGAGTGTCTTCTGGGTCTCCTACTTGGGTGGCAGGGGCCCAAGGACTAGGGTCATCTTCAGCTGCTTTCCCAGGTACATTAACAGGGAGTTGGATAGGAAGTAGGGCAGCCAGTCCTTGAACTGGTGCACATATGGGATACTGGAACTACAGGTGGCAGCTTAACCTACTGTGCTACAGCACCGGCTTCACCTCTGTAATTTTTTTTTTTTTTTTTTGGACAGGCTGAGTGGACAGTGAGAGAGAGAGACAGAGAAAAGTTCTTCCTTTTGCCGTTGGTTGGTTCACTCTTCAATGGCCGCCGCGGCCAGCGCACTGCGCTGATCCGTAGGCAGGAGCCTGGTGCTTATCCTGGTCTCCCATACGGGGGCAGGGCCCAAGCACTTGGGTCATCCTCCACTGCACTCCCTGGCCACAGCAGAGAGCTGGACTGGAAGAGGGGCAACCGGGACAGAATCCGGCGCCCCGACCGGGACTAGAACCCGGTGTGCCGGCTCCACAAGGCAGAGGATTAGCCTACTGAGCCGCAGCACTGGCCTCACCTCTGTAATTTTTAAAAACTATTTTTGACCCTCATTTTATTCAATCTACAGATACACAACCTGCACAGACAAAGCACTGCCTGTACTTAATGTAATGATTTATTGTTTTATTTAATGTAACTACATTCAATTTGAATTACTTGACCCCCAGCAGAGTCATCAATAAGCACTATCACTGAGTAATGCTGTAATATAAAAAACTAAACTATAGCAAATTCTTTAAGCCCAATACTATTAGCTTGTATATCAAAGCCCTGCATCTGGGTTTATTTCACAGGAAGTCTCAAAACAAATTCAAACTTATGTTTTTTGCCTTTACAACATCTAGAAAGATACTACATTAAATATGCATTAAATAGAAAATTGTTTTCCTTACTAAAAATGTTAGATAAAAATATAAGTAATGTGAATAAATATTTGAAGTATAAAGATTTAATTATTCATATGATTATACTTCTAACCATATCTTGTTTATTCTCATTTATAGAGAAATTAATACACATATATTTAACTTACCTCTGTTGTTTGTAGACTGGGATCTATTTCTCTAGTAACTACTCTCCCTAGAAGAAATAAGAAAGAGAAAAACATGTTACACTGGTCAACTGATCTGAATATGTTCAAAAGTATGCAGAGGGACTGGTGCTGTGGCATAGTGGGTAAAGTCACCACCTGCAGTGCTAGCATCTCATATGGGCACCAGTTTGAGTTTCGGCTGCTCCACTTCTGATCAAGCTCTCAGCTATGTTCTGGGAAAGCAGTAAAAGATGGCACAAGCCTTTAGGCCCCTTGCCCACATGGGAGACATGGAAGAAGCTCCTGGCTCCTGGCTTCGGATTGGCACAGTTCTGACTGTTGTGGGCCATTTGGAGATTGAACCAGTTGATGAAAGACTTTCTCTCTTTCTCTCCCTCTGACTCTGCATCTCTGTAACTCTGACTTTCAAATAAATAAATAAATCTTAACAAAAAAAAGTTTGCCAAAGGTGAAAACAAAAATTGAGCAATGATAAAAAAGAAAGCTCAAAGGAAAATACTGGAAGAAAATGTAGATTTTTCTGGAACTAAACTGTTCCAAACAGCCTCCAACAGAAGTCTCATTAAAAACTGTTTAGAAGAATAGTAAGATAAGGATATGTAGGAAAAATATCACCCAGTAAGAAATAAACTCAACTCTCATCAGTACAGTTCTCAATCCATACCTACCAAACTGCCGAGACAAAGACATCCAACAGTGCTGTTCAATGATATCTCTTAGTTATCACTATATGAGTTTTCATATTCTCTTTGACTTGTTTTCCTGGAATTGAACCAGACTGGTTGCAAGTAAAACAGTACCAGAACACGACCATTTTCGAAATAGGCCAAATTACTACTCACCCCCCAGATAGAGTCACCATGGTTAGGTGAACCATTAGGACTCAAATAAGTTTCTGACTGTAAAAAAGGTAACAGAGAATTTAAATACTTATTCCCAAGTAATTCCAACTTGGAAAAATACTGAGAAATATTTGTCAATATTTCCATAAAATGCTTTTGAAGAAAATATCACAAGGGAAATCAAATAAAATATTACTACCACTTAAAAATCATTCCAAAGTAACAGTAATTCTGTAAGAGTTGGGATATATTCTGAAAACACAGAAATTTATAAATCAGTCATTTGTACATCTTTTTCATAATCCAAGAAACACAATTCATTCCACAAAACAATATTTAATATTTGTTAAATGAAATTAATTGTACCTAGTTCACAATAGTACAATTCTTTTTCACAGATGATGCTAATCACTCAGCTATTCTTCCTAGTCATTAAGTCCATCACATAAATGAAACTATTATATGTGGATAAACTCCAAAGCTTCCTACCAAGCAGCATAGTTATTAACTACTCATTTGTTAAAATAAGGCTATGTGAAAATAATCATTGATTTGTAAGAAACAGTTACTTCACGTAAACTGTATTTTACTTTTAAAAGTAGAGGCAGGGGCCAGCACCGTGGCTCACTTGGTTAATCCTCCGCCTGTGGCGCCGGCATCCCATATGGGCACCAGTTCTAGCCCCGGTGCTCCTCTTCCACTCCAGCTCTCCTCTGTGGCCCAGGAAGGCAGTGTAGGATGGCCCAAGTGCTTAGGCCCCTGCACCCACAAGGAAGACCAGGAAGAAGCAAGCACCTGGCTCCTGGTTTCGGATTGGCGCAGTGCTGGCCGTAGTGGCTATTTGGGGAGTTAACCAATGGAAGGAAGACTTTTCTCTCTGTCTCTCTCTCTCACTGTCTGCAACTCTACCTGTCAAATAAAAAAAAAGTAGATGCATGGTTCATATCTTTGATAACAAAAGACAGGGATCATTCATGATGTAAAATCTTTGTCTTTGACAGACTATGTTAATTCTTTCAAATTAATTAAAACCAGCCTACCTCTCCAGCTTCACTCTCTTGCCCTCTTAAATCCAGCCCACCAGTCTTCTTTTAATCCCGTATGCTTTCCTTCAGATTCCTCTCTGAAGTGCCTTAGCTCCTAATTATTCCTCTGCAAGGAATGTATAACTTATTCCCTGCCACTCCCCTCCCCCAACCTACCCCAGGGTAATTCTTCACCACATCCTTCAGCTATAAGTTTGAAAGTCACATTCTCATCAGAAAAGCCTTCTCTCACCTATCTTTTTCAAATCACCTAATATATGTCTACTCGATGGCATTTCTCACAGTTTCAATTTTAAATGATTTTGTGTGCTTTTTTATTTATATTTTTTACTGCCCCAAAGAGTGAAAGTTCTTGAAAGGTGGGCATAATATCTGATTTTGTTCTCTATAGCACAGTGATTGGCAAATGAATGTTGCCTGATAAATGTTCATAGAAAAAAAAAAAAAGGAACAAGCAGGCCAGTAAGAGAAGTGTTTCTTCTATTGCCTTTGTTGCCAATGATGAGACAAAACATGTTGAGAACTACACATGTGCCAGGCACTGTAGTCAGTTTCTTACAGAATCTGTTATGTACATGTAATGAAAGTTACATTGGCAAATGACAATCTTTTTCAGGAGTCAGTATTTCAATATGTACAGTGATGAAATTAAACTAGAACAGATGTCTCAAATTTGAATGTCCACAGCGGGCTAGAAGACTACTCAAGTGAACTGCATACATTTAGCGAACGTTAAGAACACAGTGAAGACATGACAGCTCTAGATGATAACCACCATGCAACAGGGCCCCAGACTCTACAGAGCTCAAGATTTTTCAAGATAACTTTCTGTTTGGTTTTTAATGTAATCCAATCTTTAAATATGTAATGTAATTTAATGTAATCCAATCTTTAAATACGAGAATGTTTTTGAAAATATTTATGAATCCCAAAATAAATTCATTTCTATCAGACTCAGATGTCAGGAAACTCCAATGAAATCTGAATACAAAGTCTCGTAAAGTGTGATAGTTGATTTTATAGCATCAACTTGAATGGATTAAGGAATACTCAGTTCAGAAAAAGGGAGACCCTTATTTTGAATGTGTCTATGAGGATGTATACAAATGGGATGAGCGTGTGAATCTGAGCGGACTAGGTGGGCAGATTTGGCTTTGGGGAAAGCAAGCACCAACAACTGGCTAGGGATCTGGAGGAACCAGGTGCAGAAGATGCACTGTTACCTTCTCTGAGAGCTATGACTTGCCTGACTCCTGCCTTGGACATCAGATTCTGATCCTTGTAGTCCAGGACCTTATGCCAGCAGTCCCCTTGCTGGCACTCGGGCTTGGGCCTCAAACTGAGAGAACTACACCCACTGCTTTGGGACTGGAACTGAGCCATGCTACTGACATTCCAGGGTCTCCAGCCTGCAGTTAAGCTGCCCTGGGACTTCTCTTTTGCCATAAATAAATCTCCCTTCATATATCTCTATTCATATCTTATCAATTCTGTGTTTTCTTGAGAACCTTGACTAATACATAAAGTTTCAACCAGCTCTGACTCTATGAGATTTATTCCTTAAAAGAGTTTGCTATTCTGCATTTCATGTGGGAATTTTGATAGCACAATTTCTCTAAAAGGCTCAAGCCAAAGGCAGCTTCTCTTGTGACTTCTTTTGAGTCCCCCGATATAATACCAATGATTTGTGTCAAGCGCATTTCAGTTCTTACAAAAGCTACTTGAAGGTGCACCCTGGCTGGCGCGGTGGCTCAATAGGCTAATCCTACACCTGCGGCGCCGGCACACCAGGTTCTAGTCCCAGTCGGGGCGCCGGATTCTATCCCGGCTGCCCCTCTTCCAGTCAAGCTTTTTGCTGTGGCCCGGGAGTGCAGTGGAGGATGGCCCAAGTCCTTGGGCCCTGCACCCACATGGGAGACCAGGAGGAGCACCTGGCTCCTGGCTTCAGATCAGCGGCAGTGCGCTGGCCGCAGCACACCGGCTGCGGCGGCCATTAGAGGGTGAACCAATGGTAAAGGAAGACCTTTCTCTCTGTCTCTCTCTCATTGTCCATTCTGCCTGTCAAAAAATAAAAATAAATAAATAAAAAAAGGTGTACCCTCTATTTTACATAGGACAAAACTGCTCATGCCCTCCTTAATGAAAAAAAAAACCAGTTCTTGGTTGAGGTAAGTTGAATTAGCCTAACTGGGTCCCCAAAAAAGACATTTTTTTCTTCTTGCTACAAGTTACCAAAATAATACATGCAGATTTTTTGATACTCCCTGTCACTGATTCCATGGCAAAGCTATATAAGCTCATTAAAGCTCTAAGTGATGGCTGTAAATTTCCCTAGAGAAAGGGAGAGGAAGTCATAATGATGATACACAGAACTGCATGAAATAAGGCAACAAGCAGCAAGATGAATATTTTCCAGTTAGTATAACACCTTCCGGGTTGATTGTCTTTAATTAGCAAGCACTGCAACATTATATTTACTAGAGAAAAATACACTGACTGATAGCTCTTTTTATGTTTGTCTTTGATAGAATACCATTAACTAACATCGTCATTCCATTACTCTGGATGCCAAGAACACCACCACATCAACATAAAGCTAAGATGCAGGTACTGTTTTGTGAAACTTCCATATTAAGCGATGCTTTTTAAAAACTTTCTCTTTTTTCTCCCAGTATCACATTAAGTTGGGACTTCCTATGGTTTTGGTGTAGCTGTCACCTAGGATTCTACTGCAATTGGAGGTTTGATCCCTAGGATGGTGGTGTTGGAAGCTGAGGAAAGCTATGAGAGGTGAGGTCTAGTGGGAGGTCCTTAGGTCACTGAGGATGTGAGGCAATTTTTTGGTGGCCCCTTGGTAAAACCCTTCAGTTCTAATTGAGAAGGTTGTTAAAATTTAAGATAGAAAGGACCAAGATGACCCTCCCCTCTCTAAATTTCTGGTTCCCCCATGCAAGTTTCCATCACGGTCATGTACCACCAGAAGTAATATACACCAGAATTACACCAAAAGAGGCACCAAACAATGCCCTTGAACCTTCAAAACTGGGAGCTAAGTTCTTCTTTTTCTTTGCAAGTAGCTTATTTGACATTTCATTAATTTTCATTATGATAAAAAAGCTGATTTTCTAGTCATTGAAATGGGATAGAGATGGACATCTCCATTTTCATTCATAAATTTGAAGGCAATGCCTCATTGTCTTTTCTCTTCAAATGTGACTTTCAAAAGTCCAAAATGTATTTAACTATATCATCTCTAAGAGTTATAAACAAAGTTCAACTCAAACCATTAGATTTGGTGATCATAAAAATTTGTAAAATTATGATGTAAATAAAGAAAACAAAGGATTACAATAAATATATAGTATTGCTGTTAGAAAGGTGATAGAGTTATCTGTGGAGATGCATTATGTGCTTAGGGAATGAAGAATGAATATGATGTCACATGGGTAACTGAAGTCATTGTTGAAGACACTGCCATTTTAAAAATTTCAAACACATTTCTTCTTGGATTAGAAATAGGTGTGCCAGGGGCCAGCGCTGTGGCATAGCAGGTAAAGCTGCCACCTGCAGTGCCAGCATCCTATATGGGCACTGGTTCAAGGAGACCCAGAAGAAGCTCTGGTTCCTGGCTTCGGGTCGGCCCAGCTCTGGCTGTTGCATCCATTTGAGGGGTGAAGCAGTGGATGGAAGACCTCCCTCTCTCGCTGCCTCTGTCTCTGTAACTGCCTTTCAAATAAATAAATAAATAAATAAAAAATAGGTGTGCTCTTATCAAAATAATCTCTGGCGTATCCAATCCCATATTCTCTCAATTTTTTCTTTCACATTCTACGCATTGAATTGTATATACACATTATATATATTATAAATGAGAAATGTGACAAAAATAATCAACTTTTCTTAAATCACAATGTATACTTTTAGCCAAATATCATCACAGTGAATGAAATTCAACTCTGGAAAATGGTATGGAAGAGGGAGTGGCATTGTGGCATCCCATGTAGGTGCCAGTTTGAGTCCTGACTGCTCCACTTCACATCCAACTCCCTGCTAATGTGCCTGAGAAAGCAGAAAAAGATAGCCCAAATCCTTGGGCCCCTGCACTCACATGGGAGACCTAGAAGAAGCTTCTGCCTACTGGCTTTGGTCTGGTCCAGCCCTGGCCATTATGGCCATTTGGGGAGGGAACCAGTGGATGGAAGATCTCTCTTTGTCTCTCCCCTCTCTGTACCTCTGCCTTTCAAGTAAATAAAATAAATCTTAACAAAAAAGGGTATAGAAGAAATAATCGGTTCATGATTACAAAATATAATACGGTTAGGGAATAAATGTATGCTAAATTATCTATTGGCTTAACTTAATCCAAGTCAAATGGCAACAAGTTTTCAAGAAAGAGTGTGAGAAAACAATTCTAAAATGTTAAGGAAATACAAGCAGTTGAGAATAGCCTTTGTATTCATAATAAATAATAATATTAGAGGAACAGAGACCCCAAAAGAGATACATTATGTGATGGCAGTGGTGCCAACTGAAACAAGTCACTATATTCATCATCATGCATCCTCAGTAGAAAGAAGAGCTAAATGTCTAGTATATCTTAAAACCATCCTTGAGGAAACAGTAAAAATGCTTAATTTTCAGGGGCTAGAGCAGTAGGTTAATCCTCTGCCTGCAGCACCGGCATCCCATATGGCCACGGATTCTAGTCCTGGATGTTCCTCTTCTGATCCTGCTCTCTGCTATCGTCTGGGAAGCAGTGGAAGATGGTCCAAGTGCTTAGGCTCCTGCATGCACATGGGAGACTTAGAGGAAGCTCCTGATTCCTGGCTTTGAATCAGCCCAGCTCTAGACGTTGCAGCAATCATTTGAGAAGAGAACCAGTTAGTGGAAGACCTTTCTCTCTGTCTCTCCCTCTCACTGTCTATAACTCAAATAAATAAAAATCTTAAAAGAAAAAGCAGATGATTTATTTAAAAACTGCTTAATTTCCTAAACCTTCACCTTGAATATACATCTTCTTAACAATCTATAAAGAAATAGGAAGTATGCTCGAAGTACTCCTGTTGCATTCCAAACTACTGTTACCTGAAAAAAAAAAAGTACTTTGTGGGGGTTGGCCTTATGGCATAGTGGGTTAAGTCATCAGCTGTGACACAAGCATCTAATATGATTGCTGGGGCACCTGGCAGTGAGTGAATGGAATATTTCTCTCTGTTTCTTCCTCTCTGTAACTCTGCCTTTCAAATAAACCTTTTTTTTTTATAAAAGCCATGAAACTCTGAAGCTTGAAGGAAGACAGAGAAAATGAAGACAGAGAAAAGCCTTAAGGATTGTACCATGGGTACTCCAATATCTAGAAAGAGGTGAGGAGGAAGAAAAACAAAGCTGTGGGGAGCAATCTGGACGGGACTAAGTTACTGGAATTAGGACTTATTCTATGCATCTGGTCTCCCACAATATGGCGCTGGGAGAGAAGAAAACAGCTTCTGCACAGCTGCCTCCAGTTCAGCCAATAAACTGTAGGACTTGCTCCTGATTGGAGGAGAGCAGCGTACTCGGCGTGTGGGCAGCCGAGTTAGGATTGGCGGAGGAGGACTATAAAGGGGGAGGGAGACGGCATGCACCGGGAACATCTAAGGGGAACATCTAAGGGGAACGCCTGTGCAGCCCCCGAGAGAGCCGGCCGGCGGTGTGCTGCTCCCCTGCGGAAGTGGGGAATGTGGCCAGGGGGAACCGCCCTTCCACGGAGGTGGAAGGGACAGTAGCCACCCCGGGAAGAACCAGCAGCAAACCCGGGGAGGGCCGAGCAGACGAAAGAACAGCGCAGGATCCTGTGTCGTTCCTCCACGAAGACGGGGAGCGACACAAAGCCAAGGAAGGAAGGAAGGGAAGGAAAGAAAAAGTGCTTTGTGTTGTAAAGTAAAATATCAGAGTTCATGTCACACAATTTTAACTCAAAGTATGAATAAACAAATTCAAAATTTATAAAAAGAGAAAAAGAAAATATGACCAGTAGACATATTTTATTATGCAATCTTCATTATTTGGGAGCTATTTTCTCAAAAATTAACAGCATGATTCTTCATAGAAAATAGCAAAGAGTGTTTATTGTCAGTGAGAAAATTTGAATTTTAAATGAAAGCTCTAAATTTAAAAAACTTTATCTGTCACCATGAAATTTTCCCAAGACTTTCCAGATGACAGCAATGATGTCATGTGGCTTTTTGATATTTTATAATGAAATATGTCAACATTTGGCAGATCTATTTAACTTAGTGAACTAACATTTTCTAAGTAATTAGCATATGATGTTACAAAATCATACACTGGTGAAAAATGTCCTTAAAGTAAGAGACCAGTGGATTTTAATGTAGCAGAAAATGAAAAGTTTATTTAGATGGCTTCAAATTTCTCATTACATCTGTCTTTTAAGAACCTATTATTAGTTTGAGTTTTGGTGCAATTGTATCAAAGAAGAATATCTGTAATTATTTGAAAGCTTTTAAAATTATTCTTCCTTTTTCAATTATATATCTGTAAGTAGGCAATTTTCTTTAACTAGTTGGACCAAAACAACATATCACAACAGACAATATAAAGGAAGATATGAGAATCTACCCTTCCATTAGGCCAGGGATTATAGATTTTCAAAGAAGTGAACAATGTCAATATTATATTTGTTTCATTTTTGAGAATATAACTGTTATCTTAGAAATTATTTATGCTAACATGGAATTATTACTTTTAATAAATTTTAAATGTGCCTATTTTAATTTTCAATAAAAATAAATAAAAGCTTTTGAACTTCTTTGAGACCACAAAGTTCAAAAGTGCTGTCTTAGTGAAAACTCAACAGAAATAATGTGTATCAGAACACTATAGAAAAGCATAAAAATATTCATAATAGCATTGTTAGGAATATTTGTAATACCAAAATTCTCTCAAAAATGCAGCAGTAGAAGAATGGATAAATACATTGTGGTGTAATCATGTCACATGTTTCACGAAAAGACTGAATAAGTAATAATTATATGAAAAAACAAGGTTAAATCTCCAAGGAATACAATATTAAAATTAACTGTCCAAAACCAAAGTAAATTACAGCTAATTATTTACGGGTAGATGTTGTTAGGAGACAATTCTTGGGTTTCTCACAGTTGTGCACATCCTTGTACTGGAATATCGAGACTATAATTTTCAAGGATTTTGGAGAGTGCGCAGCCTTTGAAGACAGAGAAGGTAGACTGTTCTTGAGCAAAGGGCTCATGTGCTTACAGTCTAGAAACACGGGGGTAGTAGCTCCCTCTAAAGCAAATTACTGACCAAATTCACTAAAAGCTCAGAGTTTCTCTCTTTGTTGCAAGCTGTTGCCTGTGCAGGCATTACATTACTCATTGAATATTTTTTTTAAATTTTTATAGACTTTTTTTTTTGATAGGCAGAGTGGACAATGAGAGAGAGAGAGAGAGAGACAGAGAGAAAGGTCTTCCTTTTTGCTGTTGGTTCACCCTCCAATGGCCACTGGCTGGCGCACCTCGCTGATCTGAAGTCAGGAGCCAGGTGCTCCTCCTGGTCTCCCATGGGGTGCAGGGCCCAAGCACTTAGGCCATCCTCCACTGCACTCCCGGGCCACAGCAGAGAGCTGGCCTAGAAGAGAGGCAACTGGGACAGAATCCACCCCGACTGGGACTAGAACCTGGTGTGCCGGCGCCGCAGGCAGAGGATTAGCCTATTGAGCCGCGGCGCCAGCCACTCATTGAATATTGATCATCTATAGCCACATAGGTACAAGAATGCTGCTAATCTGGCTACAGTTAATGCTGTAGTAAACTGTGCTTTGTTTCTTATGCAGGTTTCTCATGTCTCTACCAGTACCGATGAGTAACTTTGTTAACTTTCAAGTACAGTAAATTTTCAGACCTTTCACAGGTCGGACATTCAGTCATCAATAAAACAATATATTTGATGGTGATGATAACGACTTACATTTGTTGATTCTTTAATATCAAGAAATTGACAAATCTATATAGGAGACACCCCAAAAATTATGATGTTATAAAGAGACAAACTGTTCAGAAAGCTTCAAGGTGCAAGTGATGGGAGCCGGCATTTTAGGATAATGGGTAAAGCCACCACCTAAAGTGCAGGCATCCCATATGGGCACTGGTTCAAATCCTGGATGCTCCACTTCTGATCCAGCTCCCTGCTAATGTGCCTGGGAAAGCAGAGGAAGATGGCCCAAGTGCTTGGGCCCCTGTTCCTATGTGGGAGACCTGGAGGAAGCTCCTGGAGGCTTCAGCCTGACCCACCCCTGGCCATTGCAGCCATTTGGGGAGTGAATCTGCAGATGGAAAATCTGTCTCTCCCTCTCTACCTCTGCCTCTCCTTCTCTGTAACTCTGACGTTCAAATAAATAAATCTTTTTTTAAAAAAAAGTTCAAGAGATGAAGAAAGAGAAAGACAAAAAAAAAGGAATGTGTTTACGGATGAGAATCTCTCTGAAAAAGAATTTTTTTAAGATTTATTTATTTATATGAAAGTCAGAGTTACACAGAGAGAGAACAGAGGCAGAGAGAGAGAGAGAGACAGAGAGAGAAAGAGAGAGAGGTCTTCCATCCACTGCTTCATTCCCCAATTGGCAGCAATGGCCTCAACTGCGCCAATCCGAAACCAGGAGCCTGGAGCTTCTTCTGGGTCTCCCACATGGGTGCAAGGGCCCTTGGGCCATCCTCTACTGCTTTCCCAGGCCATAACAGAGAGCTGGATCAGAAGCAGAGCAGACGGGACTCAAACCTGCACCCACATGGGATGTCAGTACTGCAGACAGTGGTTTTTCCTGCTACGCCACAGTGCCAGCCCCAAGAAGAAAATTTACACTAAGACCTAAATGTTGAAAGAAGCAAATCATGTGAATACAAATAAAGGCTCAAATCACAACAATTTGAGATGTTCAAAGAAATGAAGATAATCTGGGGGTAGTGAGAAGATGCCAGAGAAGTTGTGAGTAGATACTTTGTAGACAGCCTTGAGTGCCTTGTAAATGAGTCTAAATTTTTTGCTGAGTGAAATAACAAACCGAAAAACAGGTTTTCAACTCTATTACATTTACCCTTCACCAAAAGTATTAGCTGCTGAATAGTGAATGGGTTAAGAGGAAATAAGAATGGAGGAAGAAGACAAACTAGGAAACTACTGAAGTGAACTACAAGAGAGATGACAGTGAACTAGACAGGAGCTGAGGCAGTGCAGTGACGGATACATACAAGCACTGAGAATATTTGGATAAAAGTTTCCAACAAATTCTCATCAAATTTCAGATGTAGAAGCTGAGGAACAAAAAAGACTGAATACTCACAGGCTTGATTCATTTAAGAAGATGGCATTTGATAAAATGGTGAGGGTCCTTAATGGTGGGTGATTAAGACAGCAGAGGCTTCCAGCTGCCCACAAATATCCTATCTCCTGTATTAACAAGACCCTTATAATACATGGTTCAGGATTATGCCCAAACAAAACAAAATGAAACATTCCCTAGCTTACTGTGGCCAAGAATATGAGGACAATTCAAAGCTTGATTATCATATAAATGGTATAATGTCCATCTCACAAAGGTTTGCATGAGTATCAAATAAGATAACGCGTTCCTTTGAGGCTGGTGCTATGGAATCTCATATGGGCGCCGGTTTGAGTCCCAGCCACTCCACTTCTGATCCAGCTCCCTACTAATGCACCTGGGAGGGCAGCAGAGGATGGCCCAAGTCCTTTGGCTCCTGTACCTACATCGGAAACCAGGAAGAAGCTCCTGGCTCCTCTCTTCAGCTAGGTCCAGGCCAGCTCTGGCTGTTGCAGCCATTTGGGGAGTGAAACAGTGATGCATGATGGATCTCTCTGTCTCTCTCTCTAACTATGCCTTTCAAACAAACAAAAAATAAAAAAGCATAAGACATCACATATAGCTTTCATGAAAGCATTTTCTCCATTAATACTTCCTGGATGTGCCACTCAAAACTCCACAGTGTCCTGGTTCTCTCTCATTGGATTGATGAATGAAAAGGAAACCAATTTAACACACTCTTATAAAGAACAGTAAAAGAATAGTATTCTAAAGAATGAATGCTTTGTCACTAAAGGTGTTAACACTTGAGCATTAACTTATGGATCTTTTATTGTTTTGAGGACAAAAAAGATCACTCTTATGTGGAAGAACAATACACTAAACAAAATAGAGTTCAAGCACACAACCATCAAACAACTACTACTAGGTCAATAGAGTGTTTTACAATTTTATTTTTGCAAAGAGAAAGAAGAAAAAATGCAAGCATTGACTCTAACTTTGCTCCACTTAACATAAAACTAAGTGAAAAAATATTTTCAAATTGCTATCAGAATCTGATGCAATGTGATTACTTAAAAATGTGGAGGGGCCAGCACTATGGCTCACTTGGTTAATCCTCTGCCTGTGGTGCTGGCATCCCATATGAGCACTGGGTTCTAGTCCCAGCTGCTCCTCTTCCAGTCCAGCTCTCTGCTGTGGTCCGGGAGGGCAGTGTAGGATGGCCCAAGTGCTTGGGCTCCTGCACCCACATGGGAGACCAGGAAGAAGCACCTGGCTCCTGGCTTCGGACTGGCGCAGCACTGGCCGTAGCAGCCATTGGGGAGTGAACCAATGGAAGGAAGGCCTTTCTCTCTGTTTCTCTCTCTCACTGTCTATAACTCTACCTGTCAAATAAATAAATAAATAAAAGAATGTGGAAAGCAGACAACATATATCCTTCCAATTATTTTCATCACTGTTTCTCCTCTTACACTTTAACTTTACTGAATCCTTTCCCTACCACGAACAAGTGCTTTCTTCCCATACTAACCCTTGCTTATTTTTTATATATCAGTTTAGATATCCTCCTTTCAGACCTTGCCTGAAACCTCATCCTTCTGGTTTACCCTGGTACCAGCTCCCAAACCACTTTGACTATAGCCCTCTCTGGGCACCTGGCCCAGTTACACCTCTGTCTACCACAAACCTGGAGAGCCACCAATAGCAAACTTTGTAAATTGTATCCTTTTCTGAAAAGCAGAAAGATTCAGGAGAACAGATTTATTTCCTTACACACTACGCTCACTCTCACACATGCATATGGTTCATTAGCTCACTCTTACAGACACAGCCACACACGTAAGCAATTGGTGTCACATTCCATAGACTGAGGTACACTTTCACACTCATTCAGAGTATAAAAATGCAATAATTGTATATAATTACCAAACCTCTGTCAAAACCTCTGAAGAGGCAGGATTTGAAGCCAACAACTCTAAATCAACGTCTTATGATTCCTCCAGCTTCCTTTAACATGAATGGAAATAACTACATTCTTCCTGTAAGCTGGAAACCAGAGATATGAAGGGTTTCATACCAATCCACTGTGAGAATCATCAAATATTTGCTAAAACAAAAGCCAACCGAACAACTCAGAGAGCACATTACTAAGAATACACACTCAAGCAAACCCAGAACCCAAAAATAGCCCTTGTATTTACCAGATGGTCTTCTCAGCTTACAACTTCTACCAGCAGCATAAAATTAAATTTAAGTACAGTCACATGACATATATTGATATTTCAGTCGATGAGAGACCACATATATAATTGTGGTCCCCTAAGATCATAATGTAGTCTAGGTGTGTAGAAGGCTATACCACTTGTTTTTTTAAGGACACTCTTATGTTAGCACGACAAAAACACCTAGCAATGTGTTTCTCAGGTCTCTGTCATTACATGGCCTGTGATTTTATATGAAAATAAAGATCCACATTTCTAAAAAGCAGGTGATTTTTCGTCAAACACAGTGCTTAATGTAATTGTTAAGATGTAGGCAACTTAAACATTCAATATTTAAACTGCCTTTTCCAAAGCTAAACTCCTAGACTTTCTTTTCCAATGGTGACTGTATCATAAATCAGCTAAAGAATGAATATTTCAAATATGAATTTCCTTAAATGTTAACCAGTCAATAGTTCAATTTCAGCAAAACTATTTTACTAGTAATGTTTGTTTTTGTAGCCTTTTAAGTGTTCTATTACATTTAACCCTTAAAATTTCAATTTTAAAATTAGTAGAGAATAATAAACAATTGTCTCTCTCACTGTCCACTCTGCCTGTCAAAAAAAAAAAAGAAAGAAAATAAACAATTGAGGTCATGTATTGCTTATGTGTTCCATTGTGAAGAAAACAGACTTAAAAACAATGTAATAAAACCTAGAAACCGTTCATTAATTTGTCTACAAGTTAAGATATCTATGAAAAGAAATCTTATTACAAGTGAATCAACTGTTTAACTCTGTCATTTAATCTTCAAATGTGACTTTGGTAACACAAGAGGGTACTCCAAAGTTCATGAAAGCATGAATTAAAATATGTTTATTTTGGTGCAGAAAAACACTTGAAATCCATGCAGAGAACATTATTTAGTATACATCTTCATTTCTACTCTTCCTTCAATGAAAAATATGTATCTCTATCTTTCATAGTTTTACCTCAGAAGTGATTATAAGGAATTACTGAGTGCTTTAAATATACAAATTTAGATTTTCAGGTTATTGAAATTACAAAAAAAAGTCATCAGGAAAAGAAGAAGAGGGAGGAGGAGGAGGAGGGGAAGGAGGAGGGGGAGGAGGAGGGGGAGGAGGAGGAGAAGGAGGAGGAGAAGGAGGAGGAGCACTCCAATTTGAGATGCCAACATTGCAGGTGGCAGCTTAGCTGCTATGCCACAATGCTGTCCCCTGATTGTCTAATTTATAAATTAATCTGTAGCATGGGTATGAATGTATAGGAAAAAACATAGTGTATATGAGGTTCGGTATTATCCGTGGCTTCAGGAATCCACTAGACAGCTTGGAATGCATATCTGGTGAATACAAAGGCATTAATGCACATTTACTACATCATTCAGCAGGCATTAGTCAAAGTTATTTCCTTCTCTCTTCAAATTTTTTTTTTATTTCAAAAGGGGGAATGTGCATAGAGTCATGCCATGAAGAACAAGGGAAGAAAACCCACAGAAAAGGTGAAAATATCTGCAAACTATATGTCTATAGTGGATCAGAATATGGAACAGAGAGAGTTATTATAAATCAATTGTAGAAAAATTAAAACAGAGCACTTGAATAGACATTTCTCCAAAGTGGATAAATAAACACCCAATAATACACGAAAATACTTGACATATTAGTCACCAAGGAAATGCAAACCAAAGTCACTTAGAGACACGCTTTCACAACTACTAGGATGGCTATACTAAAAAAAAAAGGCAGACAAAACAACTGTTAGTGAGGATGTAGAGAGATGGGAACTCTTTTCCATTATTGGTGGAAATGTAAATACCGACAGTTGGAAAGTAGGTTGGCACTTTCACAAAATGTGCAATACAGGGCTACCACACAATCTACCAATTTCGTTCTTAAGTATAACCTAAGAAAAATGAAAACATATGTTGATGGGGATGGCGCTGTGGTGCAGCAGATAAAGCCACAGCCTGCAGTGCCAGCATCCCATATGGGCACTGGTTCTAGGTCCTGCCTGCTCCATTTCTGATCCAGCTCTCTGCTTTGGCCTGGGAAAGCAGATGGTCCAAGTCCTTGGGCCCCTGCACCCACGTGGGAGACCTGGAGGAAACTCCTGGCTCCTGACTTTGGATCAGTGCAGCTCTGGACATTGAGGTCAACTAACCAGCAGATGGAAGGCCTCCCTCTCTCTGCCTCTCTGTCTCTCTCTATGTATGTAACTCTGACTTTCAAATAAATAAATCGATCTTAAGAAAGAAAACATATGTTGACACAAGAATTTGATATGAATGTTCACAGCAGCATTACTCATAGTTATCTAAAATGTGGAAATAACCTAAATGTCCAGCAACTGATGAATGGATAAGCTGTGGTATATCTCTACAGTGGGAAAGTTACTTGGCAATTGAAAGACACTATTACAAACTCCAATGAATGAACTTCAAAAATCTACAGGCTAAGAGAAAAAAGCAGTTACTACAAACCACATGTTGCATGATTCAATTTACTTGAAGTGTCTAGAATAGGCAAATCTACAGAAACAGTAATAGATTAGGGAGTGCCTGGAGCTAAGGGTGGGAAGGATGGGGAGTGGCTGCCTTAAGAGTCTTCTATTTGGGGTGACAAAATTTTCTAAAATTACTTTATGGTGATGGTTGCAAAACTGCAAATATACTGAAACAGGAAGCTACAATTTAAAGGTGGATTTTATGATGTGAAGATTTTGTCTCAGTGAAGCTGCTTAAAAAGAGGAAAAGTATGCAATAACACAACTATTTCTTGGTGCCACTGAAGACTGAATAGTAAGAGCATGCTCAGACTGTTTATCCCTTTAACAAATCGTTTCTGGACTTCAAACTAAAACTAAAGACATGAAAATAGTCATTGAAACAACCGAGTTCCAACAGAAGGCCACTGAAAAACGTGCATTTTTAGGAAAATGTGTCTACGAAAGAGATACCACAGAACACAGATCTGAGCAAAGTCTTCAGCAAGCAACAGACAAATGTCTTTCAAGGCCACTACAGGTCCAGTTAAAGCTGACCTGTAAAAGCAGCACCGTTTCCAAGTGCATGAGCATCTTAAACTGATAGATCTTAAAGTCAGCCCTCGCATGATTAACAAGCATCTGAAAGCACTATCAGTAATCCGCAGAGAGGCTAAAGGAGTGAGGGCCAGTTCCGTGGCACGTGGGATCGCGGTCCTGATCTTTACCGCGCGGCTCCCTTTGGGAGACCCTTTCTGCTTTGGGGTGGTGTTCAGGGGCCGAGCACCACAGCACACGTGCCCAGCGCGCTAGCCTGGCCTCTCCTAAGTACTCAGCTGTCCTGCAGCACACAAGGGAGCAAGGAGGGTGTCCCCGACTCGAGGGAGTCACAGAACGCAGGTACTAGGCGCGTGGGAGCGGCAAAGCAAATCGTGGGAGCTAAACCCATCCCAGGCACATTCAAGTCAGAGGCGGTCTACGCTGCGGTTCCCGTCTCGCGCGGGGACGCCACGCCGCGAACGTCCCCGGCGCTGGCCGCAGGTCCACCAACGTCCCCCGGGGCTCAGCGCTGGGGACGGCGGAGTCCACGCGCGCAGCCCCGCCCTCCCGCCGGCGGGCTCCTTACCTTCCTCCTGCACCATCTCCAGGAGGTTCGGGTCACCCATCTTCGCTAGCTCCTTCATGACGCTGAGGCCGGAGAGGCAGCTCCCAACCGGCCGCTGCGACAGGCGACGAGAAGGCGTGGGGCAGATACTGAATCTGATTGCCGGCTGCCGGAACTGCGCGTCCCACACCCGGACCTTGAAGATGTCGGGACTCTCCCTGCAGGGCGAGGACTTGTCCTCCTCCACAGACTCCACGAATCCCGTGCTCTGCAGCCAGTTGGACTTCCTCTCCAGCTGGTACTTCCACTCGACCTTGCCCCCCTGCACCTGCCCCGCGCCCTTGGGCCTGCGCTTCGATTTCTTCTGCCGGTAGCGCTCCCTGCCCCTTTCCCAGTAGGCCTCCCAGTACCCGTCCCGGAGCTTGCCCTGCTTCTCCCCCTGGCTGCGCCGGCCCGGGCTCTTTCCACTACTGACCTCCCGTTGCGGGCCTTTCCCGAGCGCTCCTTCCCTCTCTCTCCGCCCCTCTGCCCGCCTCCAGTCCTCCTGGGCCGCCGGCGCCCCACCCTCGCGGACCGCCGTCTCCCCGCCCCTCGGCGACCCGGGCTCTACGCCCGCCGCCTCCTCTCCGCTGGGGCCGTCGGAGCTCGCCGACTCCGGTCCGCCGCCTCCGGAGCCACCCCGAGGCCCGCCTCCCGTCGCTCCTCCGGGGCGGCCCCCGCGGGACCCGCCGCCTCCGGCTCCCCTGACCGGCCACCTCAGTTCTCAACAGGCTCCGCCACTCCCATTCCTCCAGGTCGACCCTGGGCCAGGACTCGGTGCTCACTGGGGCTTCCGCCCCCCTACCCTCTGAACCCTCCTCTTCCTCCTCCTCAGAAACCCGGCTGGCTGGGTCCTTACCCATCGCTAGGCTCCAGCTCACCGCGAGTGCCCCTCGGAGAGAACCCCTCCCGCTTCGGGAGTTACTTTTTGTCGGGGGAGGAAAAAGTTCCCCGCCCTTAAAGCGCCCCCTCCCCCTTTGAGGCGGGCTCGTGGCCGCCGGGGTCTCCGAGGTTCCGACAACCCCTCCCCGCCCTCGGGCCCCTGGGCGCTACCGGCTTCCTTGACAAAGGACAAGCTCTCTTCTACAGGTGAGGAAAGGTCACACCTGTGCCCCGATTTCCAAGTCAGCCTCTGCCAGCTTTAAAGTTGGAGCGTGTTGGGCAAGTTCCCATCAGCTGCAGTTTCCAGGTCGTCCAGTGACAACAGCACTCACCTCCTGGAGGATGGTGTGAGGAGCACGCTACAAAGGCTTGGCATATGGAGTGTTAACGCTTTCCTCCGCTCCTAAAGGAGCCCGTGCTGCTTTGGGTCTCCACAACTCCAACCTGGAGCAGGGTGCGCGGTCCGAGGTAGCGGTCTGCGCCCACAGCCTTGAGAGTGCTGAGCAGGGAGTGGCTGAAGTGAGGTGCCCAGAGACCATCACCTTTCCTCATCGCCCTGCTCCTACTTGTTTCTTTTCTATTCTATTTACTTGGTATACTGAATCAGCTTTTATAGATGAGGAGACAGGTTTAGGGAGAAGTGTCTTCTGTATGGTCATGGTTAACTGAGGAACTGGAAATCACTTTTTTTGTTTCTATACCGTGATATCTCTAACTTAAATATCAGGAATATATCAATTCTGGCCAAGAGGTTGGAGACTATAAGCAGTTTCTTACTCGATGTAGTTTGGAATTGTTTTTTACAGGTGTAACTATATTTAAGTTAATGCACAATAGAGTCCATATAATTACTATAAGTGGATTCAAGGCTGGTTCCTCAATCCATCAAACAAAAATTTTTTTAAAAAAAATTCTCATTTTTTTCAACCCTTCTTACACACAAAAGCAAATGTCTACCTAGCTACCTTAAAAGGAAGACATTACGTGTTGATTTTGTTCAAAATTCAATGGAATATTTTGACGCTGAGGGGCTTATATTTTATCTGCTTCTTCTACACTTTAACAAAGTGGAAAACCAGTTGTGTTCTTTGGATAGAAGTCTGTATCTTTTCCACCACTTTTTGCTTCTTGAGGAATATTTTCTGTGTTTGTATCATGAAGTAGTTCATGCTGCGTTCCGTTCATAATTTTAGGATCTGTCCATTTCCTTCATTGTTACTCCCTGCCTCTTTGCACAGAATCGTCAACCATACATATCCAGAATTGTGTTCTGAATAACGAAATCCTGTCGTTTCATTAAATTGAACAGAGTCAAATACTATTTTGGGGCCCCAAAGTCATTTTTTATTTTTAGCCTTCCAAACTATTTAGCCTTCATTTGAATTATTACAAGCACCTGATAGGACTTTCTTTTTTAAAGATTTGTTTTATTTATTTGAAAGACAGAGTTACAGAAAGAGGTAGAGACAGAGAGAGAGGTCTTCCATCTGCTGGTTCACGCCACAGATGGCTGCAATGGCCGGAACTGTGCCGATCCAGAGCCAGGAGCTTCTTCTGGGTCTCCCACGTGGGTGCAGGGGCCCTAGGACTTGGGCCGTCTTCTACTGCTTTCCCAGGCCACAACAGAGAGCTGGATCAGAAGTGGAGCAGCCAGGACTAGAACCGGTGCCCATGTGGGATGCCAGCACTTCAGGCCAGGATGTTAAGCCGCTGTGCCATGATGCAGGCCCCTGATAGCACTTTTTTGACTTACCTTTTGTCAAAGACAAAGACTTATCTTTGTGTCTTATACTAAGCATAGCATGCAAAAATACTTCAGTGATTACACACAGTCATAAAGATAAAAATGGCAATATTTTAGAAAATAAACTGTGGACTGCAGCTTCAAATACTTGCTTGCTGACTCTCTATGTAAAGATATGAGTTTGTTATAGGAAAGACCATTTAGGGCTGTCACAATATAACATGTGGGGAAAAGTCTGAGCTGTATGGTAGTGAAATATATGCACTGAACAACATCTGCCTGTGGTTTTTTTTAATTATAGCAGTATAATCAGTATACTTAACTCACTGTGAAGAGCTTTAGTTTATGAGCTAAATTCTGGAAGCCAGAAAAGGCATCTTTCTAGTTAATACTTTCTCTCCTGTCTGTGGTCTGGATCAGTTTCCTTTCTCAGTTTCTCTACATATCATCAAAACTTTAACCACTAGGATAAGATTCTTTCTTTGTGACTACTTGTCATTTTCATTCATCTGTTTTACCTGTAAACTTGTCACTTATCCCAGATATTTTCAACATCACTGTAGCCCACATTCTGAAACAGTATATGCTAATGTATGGGCTTTGTACTAGGAGTCAGAAAACCTGCATTCTATTCTTGTGTCTGTTGCCTAATAAGGTAGGCAGCACAATAACCATAGATAGGTAACTTGGCTTCTTTGACCCCAGATCCCTTCTCTGTGAATATTACATATCTGACTTGTTCCAGCCATCTCCTCAAGTTGTTGTAAAATTCAAATAAGCATGTGCATTGGGGACCAGCATCATGGCACAGTGAGTTAAGGCATCACCTGCAACCCTGGTATCCCATATGAACACTAATTCGAATTCTGGCTGCTCCACTTCCAATCTAACTCCCAGTTAATGTGCCTGAGAAAGCATCATAAGATGGTCTGAGAAATTGGGTCCCTGTCATCCATGTGGAAGACTCAGAGGGAGTTCCAGGCCCCAAGCTTCGGCCTGCCTTAGCCATGGCCATTGAAGCCATTTGTGGAAGGAATCAGCAGATGGAAGATCTCTCTCTGTCTGTCTGTCTCTCTCTGTAACTCTCAAATATATCTTTTAAATGCAATTTAAATTTATTTATTTGAAAGGCAGAGTTACAGAGAGGCAAAAGCAGAGGCAGAGAGAGAGAGAGGTCCTCCATCTGCTGCCAAGTGGCAGCAACAGCCAGAGCTGGGCCAATCCAAAGCCAGGAGCCAGGCACTTCTTCCGGGTCTCCTACTTGGGTGCAGGGGCCCAAACCTTTGGGCCATCCTCCCCTGCCCTCCCAAGCACATTTGCAGGGAGCTGGATCAGAAGTAGAGCAGCCCATATGAGATGCCAGCACTATAGACAGCAGCTTAACCCTCTGCAACACAGTTCTGACCCTGATAGACCATAGTTCATACCATAGCTCTCTCACATTTTAACTGTGTGATATTTTCTGAGTCTATGAACTTCTCTCAGTCTCGGTTTCCTTATATATATAATAGAGGATATAATTCCTACCTCGAGTTTTTGGTGGATTAAATGTAGTGACATGTTTTTATTTGTCCAAATATTAAACCACAGGATGCTGTTTTCATTGTATTTATTTTTTGTTGAAGCTTTCTATAGTTAAAGTGGTAGAGTTTTAGAGAAAATGGAGCTCTTTATTGTTAAGTGTATATTAATTCCTGTAATTTTTATGAAAGGATTTATTTTTATTAGGCTATAATACTTCTAGTAATTTATGGGGCAGACCCAAAGATTTCTGAACTTTAAAAGCAACTACCTGATGAATAAATATGTCTATACAGGGACTGGCATTGTGGCAGAGTGGGCTAAGCCAACTCCTGCAATTCTAGCATCCCATAAGAGCACCAGTTCAAGTCCTGACTGTTCCACTTCCCATCCAACTCCCTGCTAATGCACCTGGAAAATCAGTGGAAGATGGCCCAAATCCTTGGGGCCCTTCTACCAATGTGGGAAATCCAGATGAAGCTCCTGTCTCTTGGCTTTAGCCTGGTCCTGCCCTGGCCACTGCAGGCATTTGGGGAGTGAATCAGCAGATGCAAGATATCTCCCTCTCTCTCTCTGTCTCTCTCTCTGTCTCTCTCTCTAACCCTGTCTAGGTAGCATTGCCTTTCAAATAAATAAAGATTTTTTAAAAATCAACACAAATTTTGACTGAGCAATGGAAGCAGCTTTTAAGACCAAATGGACTCACACATTAGTTAACATTCTCCATGAAGCTATATTCAGGTGACTTTCAGTGCTGTAACAATGAAATAAAAGCTTCTAAGTAATGATAGGCTGCAATTGCAAGATAATTCAATGCTTGGGTTCAAATATGCAGTTGGACAATTCATATTTCCTTAAAACATAAAACTTTTCTAAAATTCCATGAAAGTCCTTAAAACTTGGGTTAAATAGAAAACCAACCTAATTGAAACAACATAGCTTTAAGTTAGTGCAAGTATAAAATGTAAGTCCACAAAAATTTGTCAGACCTTTTATAAAATATGTTTAAGAATATAGCCTATTTTCAAAGTGCCTAATTTCTATGTAATTTCAACCTGTAGTACAAAGAGTGAAATTATTGCCTCCATGGTTATATCTCTGGTTTAATCCTTCTAATTACATCTTCTTTTGGGAGTTCCACTCAGGGACTACATGGTTTTCACCAAAGATATAAAGCATCCAGACCACCTTTGACTCCCCTGTTTATAACTGAGCCAGATGTGGTTTGTAATCTGATATTTTAAGGAGGAGCTTGTTAATCACATCTTTTTTTAGTTCCCTTTCTCCCTTATGCTAGGTATTTGTAAGCAAGCACAACAAAAAAAAAAAAGAAGAAAAGAAAAAGACATACACAGATTAGTCATGACCTTAATCATGGAATATTTACTTCTCTGACAAATAACAGTCAGAATCTCAGTGACTTATTATTGAGTAAAAGAAAATTCTGTGGTTTGAATATGGTTTGTTCTCCTAGAGGCTTGGTCCTCAGTGTGGTGATGCGGAGGTGGTGGAACCTTTCAAGATGGGGCCTAGTGGAAGGTGATTAGATCACTGGGGTGTTTCCTTCAGAAGGGATTCATGTAGTTATCTCAGCCCCCTTAAGAGGGAGTTATAAGAGAGCTTGACCTACTCTTCATTCTCTGGCTTTGATCCCACTCATCCATGTTCTCACCATGATGCCATTACAATGAAGCCCTCACTAGAAGTTAAGCTAATGGAGCAACCCAGTCTTGATGTTCAGTCTCCAAACCTAGAAGCCAGGAGCCAGCAGCTTCTTCCAGGTCTCCCACGGGAGTGCAAGGGCTCAAAGACTTGAGCCACCTTCTACTGCTTCCCCAGGCCATAGCAGAGAGCTGGAATGGAAGTGGAACAGCTGGGACTCAAACCGGTGCCCATAAGGGATGCTGATACTGCAGGTGGCAGCTTTGCTTGCTACACCACAGTGCCATCCCCAAGAAAGAAAAGTCTTTCATCCTCTGGTTCACTCCCAAAATGGCTGCAATGCAGGAGCCAAGAGCTTCTTACCAGTCTCCCACATGGGTGCTGGGGCCCAAGCACTTGGATCATGGATCATCTTCCACTGCTTTCCCAGGCCATAGCAGAGAGCTGGATGGGAATTTGAACAGTTAGGTCTACACACCCATATGATATGTTGGCACCACAGGTGGTGGCTTTACCATATATACCACAGTGCTGGCCCGCATGCTGTGGTTCTAATGACTCCCTTCTCCAGCATCTCTCACACAGTCCAAGGAGGTTGTGGGCAGTAAACACAACTACATTGCATCTACTCTCTCCATCTCTTCCACTGTCTCAGCATCTCTTAGTAATGACAATCAGAGAAGCAAAAGACCAAGGAAAAGCAGAAGATCCATGTATAACAATTTAGATACAGAGAGCTCTTGTCAAGAGGGGTGAATATTATGTACATACAGTGACATGGGTAACAGACTAATTGCATAGGCAAAAGTAGAAAAAAAGTAAAGGATTGTGATATAGAGCAAGTGTAAGGTTTTCAGAGACAGCTCCTCTCCCAAGGTCAATCCTACTGAGCTGATGAATCATCAGAGTTCAAACTGGTACTCCAACTTTGGTATGATTTGTTACTATTTCCAGTGCCTATTTCACTTCTGCAAGTCTTGGTAGGATTTTAGTTGATGAGAAGTTTATAAGATGTAGCTGTCTTGGCCAGCGCTGCGGCTCACTAGGCTAATCCTCCACCTTGCGGTGCCAGCACACCAGGTTCTAGTCCCGGTTGGGGCACCGGATTCTGTCCTGGTTGCCTCTCTTCCAGGCCAGCTCTCTGCTGTGGCCAGGGAGTGCAGTGGAGGATGGCCCAAGTGCTTGGGCCCTGCACCCCATGGGAGACCAGGATAAGTATCTGGCTCCTGCCATCGGATCAGCGCGGTGTGCCGACGGCAGCGCGCTGGCCCCGGCGGCCATTGGAGGGTGAACCAATGGCAAAGGAAGACCTTTCTCTCTGTCTCTCTCTCTCTCACTGTCCACTCTGCCTGTCAAAAAAAAAAAAAAAAAGTAGCTGTCTGGCTTCCGCCCTTAAGGCATACGGATCTGGCTGAAAAGCCCATGAGAGTATTTCAGGCATGGAAAGCCAAGACACTCTGGGGGAAAAAAGAAAGAAAAAAAAAACTAAATGAAAGATCTCCGCGAGTGAGATCCCAGTGGAAAGAACAGGTCATCAAAGAAGGATGTACCTTTCTCTGAAGGGAGGAGAGAACTTCCACTTTGACCATGGTTTTGTCAAAAATTATCATAGTCAGTGAACTCAGGGGGCTTCCATAGCCTTGGCAGCTCATGGCAAGAGCCTAGGGTGATTACTGAGGCCATAAACAAGAGTGTCAATTTGTTAAGTCAACAACAGGAGTCACTGTGCACTTACTCCTCATGTAGGACCTCTGTCCTTAGTGTGCTGTACATTGAGATTTAATGCTATAACTAGTACTCAAACAGTATTTTTCACTTTATGTTTCTGTGTGGGAGCAAACTGTTGAAATCTTTACTTAATGTATGCTGAACTGATCTTCTCTATATAAAGATAAACGAAAATGAATCTTGATGTGAATGGAAGGGGAGAGGGAGTGGGAAAGGGGAGGGTTGCGGGTGAGAAGGACGTTATGGGGGGCAAGCCATTGTAATCCATAAGCTGTACTTTGGAAATTTATATTCATTAAATAAAAGTTTAAAAAAAAGGAAAAGGGAGGGAAAAGAGGGAGAAATAGAGAGAGAAAAGCATAAGAAGTTGCTAAAACATTTAAAAAATAGGTATTTATGTAAAAGAGGTGGAACATATGATCCAAGTTTTTCTCATCATATGTCTTACATCTTCGAATTACTTTACATTGAATTCTAAAATAAAATTTTTGCTTTATAACAGTTTCAGCTTTATTAATGAAAATTGCAGGGATAGCAAGGAGAGTTCCTCTGATGTCCCACAGCCAGTTTCCCCTCTTATTAACATATCTTAAACTAATTAAACAATGAATGAACCAAAATAGGTATGTTATCCTTAAGTAAAGTTTATACTTATTTGGAATTCCTTACTTTTCACCCAATATCTTATTGTGTTCTAATATCCCATCCAGGATACCATATTACCTGCAATTGTTTTGTACACTGTGACAGTTCCTCAGACTTTCTCTAGTTTTTAATGACTTCAGCCATTGTGAGGAATACTTTTCATGTATTTTGTGCAATGTCATTCAATCGAGGTATGATTGATGGCTCTGTCATGGTTAGATTAGGGTGATTTATTTAAGCAGACTAGGGCGGTTTATTTAGAGTCATTACCCTCGACAGGAGAAATTACCATTGCTGTTGACTTTGATCACTGAGCTAAGGTAGTATTTTGTAGATTTCTTAACTGTACACTCTTTTAACCTCCTCTTCATTCTGTATTTTTGGAAGGAAGACACAAGACGTAGTGCACACTTAAGGAATTGGAGGTTTATGCTGCAACTCATCAAAGACAAAGTAACTACATAAATTATTTGGACTTTTTTTACATGGAAAATTTGCCTCTTATCCTCAGTTCATTTATGCAATCATTTATATCGTGTAAACTCATGGATATTTATTTTCCACTTAGGGCTACCTGGTACTCTTCTTTCTAGAAAAAAAGTAAACATTATGAAACTAAATAAATGGAGGTTTTAGTTTTTAACAGATTCAATAGAGTTCGTAGCTACAATTCTAAGAATATAATGGTATTCCCATTTTCCTTTCCTCCCTCCCTCCCCTTGTTTCCCTCCCACCATCTCTTCCATTTCCCCTCTCTCTCCCTTTCTTTTCTCTCTCTCTTTCCTTTTTTCTTTCTTTCCTTTCCTTCTTTCTATCTTTTTATAGTTTTTGATATAGCACATGTTAAAATTATATTACAGCAAAAAGGTTTCACTAGATAAGAAATTTAACAAGTAAAAAGGAAAACAACCATAGTTTAGTGGGAATTTAGCCAACAGCTATAAATACAAATTTTAATGGAAACATGAATATATCACCCTTATATAGTAAATTTAAAAGTAATCACATATCATTAAACTATAATAGTATGGCATTCTTTTTTTTTTTTTTTTTTGACAGGCAGAGTTAAACAGAGAGACAGAGAGAAAGATCTTCCTTCTGTTGGTTCACCCACCAAATGGCCGCTGCGCCGATCCGAAGCCAGGAGCCAGGTGCTTCCTCCTGGTCTCCCATGTGGATGCAGAGCCCAAGCACTTGGGCCATCCTCCACTGCACTCCCGGGCCGCATCAGAGAGCTGGGCTGGAGAGTGGCAACCGGGACAGAATCCTTCACCCCAACTGGGACTAGAACCCGGGGTGCCAGCTGGCCTTTCTTTTTCTTTCTTTCTTTCATTTTTTTTAAAGACTTATGTATTTATTTGAAAGACAGAGTTACACAGAGAGAGGAGAGGCAGAGAGAGAGAGAGAGAGAGGTCTTCCATCCGATGGTTGACTCCCCAATTGGCTGCAACAGCTAGAAGTGCGCCAATCTAAAGCCAGGAACCAGGAGCTTCTTTCAGGTCTCCCATGCTGGGGCAGGGGCTCAAGGACTTGGGCAATCTTCTACTGCTTTCCAGGCCATAGCAGAAAGCTGGATTGGAAGTGGAGCAGCCGGGACTCAAACCAGTGCCCATATGGGATGCCGGCGCTTCAGGCCAGGGCATTAACCACCTGAGCCACAGTGTTGGCCCCATATCTTTATTTTTTTTATCTGATTGTGGACATCTTGGTTTACTCTAAATTTGGGCTATTTTTTTTTTTTATAGGCAGAGTTAAAGACAGAGAGACAGAGAGAAAGGTCATCCTTTTCTGTTGGTTCACCCCAAAAATGGCTGCTGTGGCTGGCGTGCTGCACCGATCTGAAGCCAGGAGCCAGGTGCTTCCTCCTGGTCTCCCATGCAGGTGCAGGGATCAAGCACTTGGGCCATCCTCCACTGCACTCCCTGGCCACAGCAGAGAGCTGGCCTGGAAGAGGGGCAACCGGGACAGAATCCTTCGCCCCAACCGGGACTAGATCCCTGGGTGCTGGTGCCACAGGCAGAGGATTAGCCTATTGAGCCACGGCGCTGGCCAAAATTTGGGCTATTTAAACAGTGCTGCTATGAACATGGTGGTATAGATTTCACTTTGATACAACATTTTCATGTCTTTTGAGTATATATCCAGTAGTGGGATTGCTGGATCATATGGCAAGTCAATTTCTAGTTTTTTAAGAAATCCCCATACTGTTTTCATAATGGCTTACTAATTCCATTCCCATGAACAGTGTATAAATATTTCCCTTTCTCCACATTCTTTTCAGTATTTGTTACTCTCTGTCTTTTGGATTTTAGCCATTCTGAGATGGTGAAGTGATATCTCATTGTGGTTTTGATTTGCATTTTCCTGACGGCTAGTGATGTTGAGCATTTACTCATATATTTGTTGGCCATTTGTATTTCTTCTTTTGAGAACTGTCTATTGAGGTCCTTTGTTCATTTCTTACCTGGATTTGTTGGTTTTTATTGAGTTTTTTAAGTTACTGATATATTCTGGATAGTAATTCTTCGTTGGATAGGTAGCTTGCAAATATTTTTCCTATTCTGTTGCATATTTCTTCATGGTATTGATCATTTCCTTTGCTGTACAGAAGCTTGTGAGTTTGATAAAACTCCATTTGTTCCGTTTTGCATTTGTCACCTGTTCATTGGGAGTCTTGTCCAAGAACTCATCCCCTACACCAATGTTGTGGAGTGTTTCCCCTACAGTTTCTTCCAGCAGCATCATAGTCTTAGGTCTTAAATTTAAGTCTTTGATCCATGTTGAGTTAATTTTTGTATACGGTGACAGGTAGTATCTACTTCCATTCTTCTATACATATGTGTGTATGTGTACAAACACCTGGTTTTCCCAGCACCATTTGTTGAAGAGATTACCCTTACTCCATTTTATGGTCTGAGCACTTTTGTCCAAATTCAGTTGGCTGCATGTATGTGGATTAATTTCTGGGCTCTGTGTTCTGTTCCATGGATCTATGTCAGTTTTTATGCTAGTACCATGCCATTTTAATTATTAGAGCTTGGTAGTAAGCTTTGAAGTCAGGTATTTTGATAACTCCAAGTTTGATTTTTCTTGCTCATGATCATCTTGGTTACTCTGGGTTGTTTGTGATTCCATATGAATTTTGGGTTGTTTTTTCTAATTCTGTAAAAATGTCATTAGTATTGTTGATGGGGATTGCATCGAATATATCTAGATTGCTTTAGGTAGTATAGACATTTTAATGATACTGATTCTAAATGGAAGTTTTTCTAATTTGTAATTAAATTATAATGCATTAATAAGTATCAGTACATAAAGACCTAAAAATCAAGTTTTTCCAGTAGTTAAATAAAAAAAAATATTATGTTCACAAGCACACACACAAAAAACCTTTTCAAGTAACATAACCATACATAAGGAGATAAAAGCACTAACCAAGCAACTTTTTAAAATTATTTTTAAACCAATGAACTTTTAAGCATTGTACTTGGACATACATCTTTATTCTAAAGACAAGGAGATCTATAAACTGACCTTTACTCTGCTTGGTAGGAGTACATCTCTCAGTAGTAGGTATGTAGCAATTCTGAAAATAATTCCTGTGGATTGCCTGATTGAGTAAATGAGGAAAGACAGTGAATATGCCTGAAGCCAGGATTTTCACTTTTGGAGAAGGAAGATGAAACATTAAATATAGCAAGGTTAGAAATAAAAGAACTGGTAGAATTGGATTGGAATTCTCCAAGGTTTTCCAGTAAAAGAAAAAGTATTAAATGATCCAGGGACATTTTATGGTTCTACAAAGTAAAGAAATACTTATAGTAGAATAATGATAATAATAGTAATATTCAAAAGTACATTCAGGCTAGCCTGAAGGGACTCCTCATGCCAACTCAGGAAGTAAAATATCAAAATAAATAATGCTACCAATGGATCACAAGCCATTGCCTATAAGAAGAAACCTTGTGCCTATACTACTAATAAACAAATGAATGAATAAATTGGGCAGAATAGAAAATTCACATTATTTTCTGAAGGATCTTTTATTTTTAAGAGATTTATTTATTTACTTGAAAGTCAGAGTTACACAGAGAGAGAAGGAGAGGCAGAGAGAGAGGTCTTTCTGCTTCCCAGGCCATAGTAGAGAGCTGGATTGGAAGTGGAGCAGCCAGGTCTTGAACCAGCATCCGTGTGGATGGCTTTTCCCGATACACGACAGTGCCAGCCCCTGAAGGATCTTGTAACAGTTTAATACTACTGCTTGTAATAGGTTAGAGTGCCTGTTTTGCTATATATTTGACAATGGTGAATACTATAATTTTGTTTTTGTCCTTTAGTGCATTGTTTGATTACTATTATAAACTGAACATTTTTTATCCAAATATACAGGATACTTCAAAAAGTTCACAGAAAAGTGGAATAGATAAGTAAGTTTATTTTGATGCATACATTTTTTAAATCTCTATACATAATTTTTTCATTGCACATTTTTCGTGAAAGTTTAAATATTATGTATGCATGTGTCTGTGTAATTTTTGTCATTGATAATTATGTTACTTCTGTGAAAGTATGTTTTGGTGGTGTTCTCAATTTCTATTGCAATATTAGGAATTTTTCCTTGTGGCCAGAGCCGTGGCGCACTAGGTTAATCCTCCAACTGCGGCACCGGCGTCCCATATAGGCGCCGGTTCTAGTCCCAGTTGTTCCTCTTTCAATCCAGCTCTCTGCTGTGGCCTGGGAAGGCAGTGGAGGATGGCCCAGGTGCTGGGGCCCCTGCACCTGCGTGGGAGACCAGGAAGAAGCTCCTGGCTCCTGGCTCCTGGCTTCTGGCTTCAGATTGGTACAGCTCCAGCCATTGTGGCCATTTGGGGAATGAACCAATGGAAGGAAGACCTTTCTCTCTGTCTCTCCCTCTCACTGTTTGTAATTTACCTGTCAAATAATTTTTAAAAAATCTTTTAAAAAGAATTTTTCCTCACTGTTGATATATATTATATATATGTCCAGAGATATAGATCTAAAACTAAAGATGGAAGCAGAATAAAGAGATAAGGATAGAGGAACTAGACATGAAAGGAGGGAAGTGGGGGAATGTGAGGTGATGGTACATACCCATATGATTTAGTATAGTACAGATATCAGATCATTTTAAGATTCCTGAGCAAAGAATTTTTTTTGGCTGATTTCCGTCACATTCCCTTCATGGCAACATGTTACTGTAGATTACAATGAATATGTAGTCTCTTATCCTGAAGAACCTTATATATTCTATTTAGACAGAGACTCTTTCAAGTTCATACATACTTTATTATTTTAACTTTTCTTTCTTTTTTTTAAAGATTTATTTATTTATTTGAACTTCAGAGTTACAGAGAGGCAGAGGCAGAGAGAGAGAGAGGGAGAGAGGTCTTCCATCCACTGGTTCACTCCCCAAATGGCAAACCAGAGCTGGGCCAATCTTAAGCCAGGAGCCAGGAGCTTCTTTAGGGTCTCCTCATGGCTGCAGGGGCCCAAGGACTTGTGCCATCTTCTACTGCTTTCCCAGACTATAGCAGAGAGCTGGATTGAATAGGAGCAGGTGGGACACGAACTGGCCCCCATATGGGATGCCAGCACTGCAGGTGCTGGCCCTATTTTAACTTTTCTTTACTACTTGTAGTATAATCTATTTACATAATATTTGAAACATTTGTGACTTTTTCTACAGTATTTACTGCCCTCTGGTGTTTGCAAAGTAAGGATAATAATATATTTTGCTTCCACTTCATTTTCAGCTTATAGGATTTCTTGGCATAGATAAATTGCTTATATAAAATTGAACTGTTTTATATATTAAATATTAATATTTAATATTATAATTTAAGATTATATTAAATATTAAATATATGTTAAATATTTTCCAATCATTTCAGAAATAAAAAAATGAATTACAGCCCATCAGCTATTTTGGGAGAGTTCCACCATTGAAAAATCTTTTCAATTTCCATCCAGCAAATGAAGAATGAAAATTGCCTAGAAAACATACTTGCCAGGTGAGTCTTTTCCAAAGTCAGAAAATGAAATATTCATAGTTATCCTGGGAAGTCCATTTCTTGAAAATGTAGCAAATATTGTGAGAGTTATAGCAGGCAAAAGGAAACAGCAAGAATGAGACAGGAGAAGAAGGCAGGGGATGTTGCTGTGTTTGAGGGTTTTTCATTTTCCCATCTGACACAGATTTACGTTAGTCCTCTGCAGCTTTGGGTCATTCTGCTTCTCTAAAATCAGCTTCAGTTTTCTAATCCATACACTGATATTTAGCTCATTCAGTAGCTTTCAAATCTTTCTGAAGGGGAGAAGGAGGAGGGCACACTTATTCAAGCAAAACATTCCATGGACTTCTAATTATAACACAGGAAAAATCAAAACTGTTCTGGTGAGAGTGTAGCACAGATTCGGGGGTTGGGGTGGGTATTGTTCCTGTCTTTTAACCACCCACCTTGTCTGCCCCTAGTTAACCTGTAGGGCACCCCTGAGTCTTCCCAATTTCATGAGGATCACATTTTGACCAATAATGGCAGCAAAAGGCAAATTCACACAAAGTCCCCTTCCTTGTTAAATACCCTCAAATGCATAAATTCTTTATAAGTTATTTTGAATTTCAAAAGCTACCAAAATTTTACTTGTACTTAACAAATTCTTAATGCTAACTGGATATTATGTTAGTCCTAAGAGTACAAAAATAGACATTTTCATTCGCACATGTACAATACATTATTAATTAAATGATTATCCAAATTAGTATAACCTCATTGAAGTGATACACTTAGTGGAGAAGAGGTAAATGTGACCATGAATGTATGAGATAGGAAGATCTGTGCTAGGCAGAAATATCAGGAGAGCCTCCTAAGGAAGGTAGTAAGTGAAGTAGGACCTAAAGGTAAGTTAGGAATTAGTCCTATAGAGAAAAGAAATAGAAGAATTTTATACAAAGCACAGGGAAAGAAGCAGCATGGTATCTTAATTAATATGTCTAAAAATTTAAACAAGGGGTGAAGAGAATTGGGAAAAGTGGGAACCAAGACAACAGAGTTTTTACCCAGGGATTTTGATCTATGTCCTCAGAGAAATGGAAAATTACTAAAGTGTTTTGAGCAGGCTCTTCATGATCAGATGACTGTCTAGAGGATGGTGGATGTATTAAAGTACTTTAAAAGTTTATAGAAAATGGAGTTGAGAGGGGCCGGTGCTGTGGCGCAGCTGGTAAAGCCGCTGCCTGCAGTGCTGGCATCCCATATGGGTGCCGGTTTGTGTCCTGACTGCTCCACTTCCTATAAACTCTTGGCTATGGCCTGGGAAGGCAGTAGAGAATGGCCCAAGTCCTTGGGCCCTCGCACTCGCATGGGAGGCCTGGAGGAAGCTCCCAGCTCTTAGATTCAGATGGGCGCAGCTCTGGCCATTTCGGCCATCTAGGGAGTGAACCAGTGGATGGAAGACCTCACTCTCTCTCTGCCTCCGCTTCTCTGTAACTCTGTCTTTCAATAAAATAAATCTTTTTTTAAAAAGAAAAGAAAATGGAGTAGAGATAAATTTATTTTGGTGCCAAAAATTGAAACCTATGCCCAGTTTTTTCATACTACACATTTTCCATGAACTTTTTGAAGACACTTTGAATTAGTTTGGGATGGATGAGAAGAGATACAGATTCAGATACAATGATGTGTAAAAATAATATAGCTGTAGGCCGGCGCCGCGGCTCACTAGGCTAATCCTCCGCCTAGCGGCGCCGGCACACCGGGTTCCAGTCCTGGTCGGGGCGCCGGATTCTGTCCCGGTTGCCCCTCTTCCAGGCCAGCCCTCTGCTGTGGCCAGGGAGTGCAGTGGAGGATGGCCCAGGTGCTTGGGCCCTGCACCCCATGGGAGACCAGGAAAAGCACCTGGCTCCTGGCTCCTGCCATCGGATCAGCGCGGTGCACCGGCCACAGTGTGCCGGCCGCGGCGGCCATTGGAGGGTGAACCAATGGCAAAGGAAGACCTTTCTCTCTCTCTCTCTCTCTCTCACTGTCCACTCTGCCTGTCAAAAAAATAAATAAATAAATAAAATAAAATAATATAGCTGTTATCTTATGGAGAGACCATGGCGTCATAGACTGGCGTATGTCAATGGAGATAACATAGATTTAAGAAATGTATAAGGGGTAAAATTGGTTAATTAGGTGATGGATTAGAAATAGGGTGCATGGGAAAAGGAAATATCAAGGGTAATTCTAAATTTCTTCCTTACTCAACTAATGGATGAGACACGGGCCAGCACAAGAAGTGCTAAACTTTGATGGAAGAAGAGGAATCACCAGCGTGATTGAGCTATATCATATTTGAATAGCTTTTGCAACAAGTTGTTAAGTCACCTATTTCAGAATCATACTTGAAATAGAGACAATATATTTCAGCTATGTTTAGGTAACAGTGAAGGCATGGGTATAGATGATGGTTCTACATACAAAGTGTAAAGTGATAGGAGCTGGCATTATGGCACAGTGGTTTGAGCTTGAGACAATGGCACATTATGGCACAGTGCTTGAGACAATGGCATCTCATATCAGAGTGCCAGTATAAGTTCCAGCTGCTGTACTTCTGCTTCAGCTGCCTGCTAATGTGCCAGGCAAAGCAGTAAAAAATGGCCCAAGTACTTGAGGCCCTATCACCCATTTGGGAGAGCCAAATGGTGTTTCAGACTCCTGGCTTCAACCTGGCCCAGCCCTGGCCTAACCATTTGAACAGTGAACCAGCAGATAGAAGATCACTTTCTCTCTCCAAATCTCTCTGTTGTTCTGCCTTTCAAATAAAAAAATAGGGCCGGCGCCGCGGCTCACTAGGCTAATCCTCCGCCTAGCGGCGCCGGCACTCCGGGTTCTAGTCCCGGTCGGGGCGCCGGATTCTGTCCCGGTTGCCCCTCTTCCAGGCCAGCCCTCTGCTGTGGCCTGGGAGTGCAGTGGAGGATGGCCCAGGTGCTTGGGCCCTGCACCCCATGGGAGACCAGGAAAAAGCACCTGGCTCCTGGCTCCTGCCATCGGATCGGTGCGGTGCGCCGGCCACAGCGCGCCGGCCGCGGCGGCCATTGGAGGGTGAACCAACGGCAAAGGAAGACCTTTCTCTCTGTCTCTCTCTCTCACTGTCCACTCTGCCTGTCAAAAAAATAAATAAATAAAATAAAATAAAATAAAAAAATAAATCTTTTACAAAATGGGAAGTGACAGTATAATAGAATCTTGAACATTTTAGGGGCTTCAACATTAAATAGCAAGTAAAGAAAGAAAAGGGTTCAAAGTATGCAGCCAGAATGAATGAATGGAAAACAGTATTATATCTTACTAGCTGGGGAAGAAAGTGTTTTAAGAAGGAGTTAAACAGTGCTGAGAACTGAAGTAAAATAAGGAATAAAATTATCACTTAGATTTAGCAACAGGAAGTTTTCTGTTTGTTTTTGTTTGTAAAGATTTATTTATTTGTTTGAAAGGCAGAGTTACCAAGAGGCAGAGGCAGAGAGAGAAGGATGTCTTCCATCTGCAGGTTCACTTCACAGACGTCCACAATGGCCAGAGCTGGGCCAATCCAGGAGCTTCTTCCAGGTCTCCCACATGGGTGCAGGGGTCCAAGGACTTGGGCCATCTTCTACTGCTTTCCCAGGTCATAGCAGAGAGCTGGATCCGAGTGGAGCAGCCAGGACTAGAACTGGTGCCCACATGGGATACTGGCACAGCAGGCTTCAGCTTTACCTGCTATGCCACATGGGTGATCTTCATGAGAACTGGTTCAGTACAATGATAGTGGCAAAACTCCAGACTAGAGTGATTTGAGGAGTGAGTTACAGTTGATTGGAATATTTCTTTGGAGTTTGGCCTTAAATGAGAGGGGAGTCTGCTAACTGGTTCATGGTGTAGTATTGAGAAAAGGGTTCTTATTTTTTGGGTATGTTCAAAAAGCAGTGGAAGAATCCATGAAGATGAGGTAAAGAGAAAGAGGAGTAATCAACAACGTGCTCTTCCAGAGAAGAGTAAAGACGGAAGCATATAAGGAAACACTGCCCTGAGATAGGAGGAAGGGACTGTACTTTTACTTTCAACAGGTAGAAACATTGTTGGATTAGTTGTATACATATGGTAAATTTGAATGTTTGTTGACACAAAAAGTGGTATTCGTATGTATGTATACAGGTATATGCAATCCATGTATTTTCTCTGTAAATGGTTATATTATCTACATAATTTGTTTAAAGATTTATTTTATTTATTTGAAAGGGAGAGAGAGAGAGAGAGAGAGAATCTTCCATCCTCTGGTTCACTCCCCATGTGGCTGCATTGGTGGGGGCTGGGTCAGGAGTCTGGAACTACATGTAGGTGCAGGGGCCCAAGGACCTGAGCCATCTTCCAACTGCTTTTCTAGGTGTGTTAACAGGGAGCTGGATCAGAAGTGGAGGAGCCTGGACTTGAACCAGTTCTCTGCTATGGGATGCTGGTTTTGCAGCCTGAGTCTTAACCCACTGCTGACCCCTCATCTACTTAATTTTAAAGAGGAAATAGAGGAGCTGACATTGTGGTATAGAAGGCTAAGCCTCCACCTGCGGCCCCTGCATCTCATATGGGTGCCAGTTTGTATTCCAGCTGATCCTCTTCTGATCCAGCTCTCTGCTTATGGCCTGAGAAAGCAGTTGGAAGATAGCCCAAGTATTGGGGGCCCTGCACCCATGTGGGAGACCTGGAAGAAGCTCTTGGCTTCTGGTTTTGCATTGGCCCAGCCCCCATCATTTTGGCTATTTGGGGAGTGAACCAGCAGATGGAAGCCCTTTCTCTCCGTCTTTCCCTCTGTCTGTCACTCTACCTCTCAAATAAATAAATGAAATTTGTAAGAAATAAAATAAAACGCTAAGCCACTTTTTTTAAAAAAAAAGAAATAAAAAATTAAGACTTGCATTTATAGTAGTAAGTCAAAATAATTTTTAAAAAAATAGAAAAATGAGCTGACCAGACAAAGATGGACAAAGATGGAATTTCAGCATGGAAACTTTAGAAGTATGAACTCTCCAACTCTACACCCTACCCTTGACTTACTGAGCCAGAAACTGGGGGTGGCGCCAGGCGTGAGACCACTGCTCTAAACAGTGTTCCAGCTTTCTTTTTTTTTTTTTTTAACTGTGATTCACACAATGATGTTTTGCATCACAGTTAGTACGCAGGTGCACATGAAACAAATCGGAAAGTTTATGAAAATATCCTATCCAGTGCAATCTTATATTTTCTGTTCCCTTGAATTTCCCTTTTAAGAAAATGCTAGGGTGAAAATCCTAAAGGGTGTTGGAGAGCCGATGAGATTTGGACATGGACTGTAGGTTGGATGATCACATTGCAAATGTGAAATATCTAGATTTTGGAAATCTGCTATGACTGTGCACGTGAATGCCCTCTTAGGGAAGCCATAGTGAAGTACTTCAGTTAGGAGTGCTTACCTTGCACAGGCAGAGGAAGCAAAAGAGACGGTGAAGGCAACTGATGAACCTGGGTACAGGGGAGACAGTTTGAAATCATGTCAAATAAAGTACCTGAAGAATATTGGTTCAGACACACTAATCTGATACTGGCCTCCACAAAGGAGTCTTTGAAAACTGCAAGGCGTATTTTAAAGTCAGGAACTAGTACTGGATTCTACTAAAGTATCTCTAATACCCCATGCAGTGCCTCAGCTGTGGAGGGTGCTCAGTGCTTGTTCACTGACTGCTGATGTTAATATAGGTTTTTCTTGCCACTGGTGTTTTCAGTTGTTAGTCTAGTCACTGTTGTTGCATTTGCTTCCTTTTCACTTCTAGAAGATCCGCACCTTAATCTGTTTTACGGTGTGCCCAAGGTCACTGGAGAGTGTTATGGGGTGGGAAGAAGGTAGGCTGTGGATTTGAACCGATGGGGTTTTCCTGCAGGCTCCTCTCCTGCCTGGCTGCCTGTTGCTCTGTGCCCATGCAGAGCTGTCACATGGCTCCCCTCTACTTCATAGGATTGTTAAGCTGTGTGATCCTGGGCCAGGCGCAGATGGAATGGGTGTGAGGAGTCTCATCCATGTTGGTATCCGTCCCCTTGGCTCAGCTCTGCGGAGAGTCAGTCTTTCCTGACAGATCCGGGCACAGGGGCCAGCGTGACAGTAGGATTAGAAGTTTTCCATGATCTTGAGGGACCGAGGTGGTCACTTTATATGTATTGGTGATATAATTTGACTCGTATGTTTACAGGGTCTGGGTTCTGCTTCTTCGTCATAACTTCAGTTCCATTGCATGCGCGCTATTAGTACAGCTACTGAGCAGTGTAATTTGGGAAGACAATACTTGGAAAGAGTCAGGTTATGGTATTTTCTCTGGTTGCTTTAAATATTTCCTAACTTTTATTTTTTCCTGTTTCAGTGCAGTATATTCAAAGAACACTTTAAGAAGAACACATCCCATGAAAGAAGTAAGTTCTCACTTTAGCCTTTAATGTGGTTTTTCTCACAGTTGACAATAAAAGTAACCTTTTGTGAGGACCTTAGAGTTTTCTGTATTTCACATGATAAGCTCTGTTTTATGGTAGTAAAAAAAAAGTTTATTCCTTTTCTTCTCACTTTTTCCACTGTTAGAAAAGAACCTTTGTTAACATTTTAGAAACATTTCTTTTTTTCCAAGCCTAGATTTGTTTCATTTAGATAATTAGCACTGTGTAAAAATTGTACAGCTTTCTGAATTTTGCCACTCCTCCCAGCCATTTCTCCGTGTTACTGACAATGGCTTGTGATTTCATGAGGTTCCATGTTGTCTACGTTAGTTTTATTTTTCTTCAGGAGAGTCTTAGAATACCTGTACGTAATGGCAGGTACGTTTCTTTAATGCTCTTGATAGCTAATTCCAAATTATTTTCCAACGGCCTGTCGCGTGGCATTGGAATTTCACATGAAGTCCAGGTGGTCAGGCAGTTGCGAGTGCGTTTGTTCTCTGTTCTGCCTCTGGCATCCTCCGGAACCCCAGCCTCCGGAGCCTGATCCGTGTATTGAACTGTACACAGGCTCTCCTTCAGCCAGGACTGTCCGCCCCTGTACTCCCAGAGCTGTGCACATCCAGGTGGCAGGCATATTTCTGGGGAGACAGCCCACCGTTCTCTTTAGGGATCTAGGCAAGCTATGGCCTGGGGGCCTAAACCAGCCTACTACCTCTTTGTACACAAGCCTGGGAACAAGGATGATTTTTAAATAGCCAAAATTAACAAAAAAGGATATGTTGTGTGCCATGAAGATGATGTGAAATGCAGAGGTCTGCATCTCTGAGTAGAGTTGTGTTGGAAGCCGGCCCTGTATAGGATTGTATAGGATTCCGTTAGCTATTTGAGGTCTCCTGTGTTTCTATATGAATTTTAGCATTTTTTTTTTGTATCTGAGAAGAATGTCCTTGGCATTTTGGTTGGTATTGCATTGAATCTATAAACTGCTTTTGCTAGTGTGGACAATTTGATGACACTGATTCTTCCAATCCATGAACATGGAAGATTTTCCCTTTTTTTTTTCTTTTTTGTGGCTTCTGTTTCTTTAATGTTTTGTAATTTTCATTGTAGAGATCTTTGCCATTCTTTGTTAAATTTATTCCAAGGTATTTGATTTTTTTTGATTGATCTTAGAAGTTCTTTCTTAGCCATGGCATTGTCTATGTAGACAAAGGCTATTGATTTTTGTGTGTTGATTTTATATCCTGCCACTTTACCAAACTCTTCTATCATTTCCAGTAGTTTCTTAGTGGAGTCTTCCAGATCCCCTATATATAGAATCATGTCATCTGTAAACAGGGATAGTTTAACTTCCCCCTTTTTAATTTGTATCCCTTTGATTTCTTTTTCTTCCCTAATGACTGTGGCTGAAACTTCCAGGGTGATATTGAATAGCAATAATGAGGGTGGGTATCCTTGTCTGGTTCTGGATCTCTGTGGGAATGCTTCCAACTTTCCCCCATTCACTATGAAGCTGGTCTTGGGTTTTTCATACATTGCCTTGAGGAATATTTCTTCTATATACAATTTTCTTAGAGTTTTCATCATGAAAGGGTGTTAAACTTTATCAGATGCTCTCTATGTATCTATGGAGATAATCATATGGTTTTGGTTCTTCAATTTGTTAATGTGCTGTATCACATTGATTTGTGAATGTTGAACCATCCCACTTGGTCTAAGTGAATGATCTTTCTGATGTTGGATTTGATTGGATAATATTTTGTTGAGGATTTTTGCATCTATATTCATCAGAGAAATGGGTCTGTAGTTCTCTTTCTCTATTGTATCTTTTCCAGGTTTAGGATTTAAGGTGATGCTGGCTTCATAGAAAGAATTTAGGAGGATTCTGTCCCTTTTAATTGTTTTTGAATAGCTTCAGAAGAATTGGAGTTAGTACTTCTTTAAATGTCTGGTAGAATTCAGCAGTGATGCCATTGGGTTCTGGGCTTTTCTTGCTGGGAGACTTATTATTAATTCAATTTCTGTTTTGCTTATTGTTTTGTTTAGGTTTTCTATGTCTTCGTGGCTCAATATAGGTAAGTTGTATGTGTCCAAGAATCTATCCATTCCTGTAGGTTTCCCATTTTGTTGGCATACAGCTATTTGTAATAGTTTCTGATGATTGTTTTTATTTCTGTGGTATCTATTCCATATCCTTTTTCATATCAATTTCATTGATTTAGGTTTCCTTTTTTTTGTTGTTGTCGGTTAGTTGGGCCAATGTGAGTTTTATTTTTTCAAAAAGCCAGCTTCTCTTTTCTCTGATCTTTTGAATTTTTGGGTTTCAATTTTTTTGTTCTCTAATTTTAATTATTTCTTTTCTTGTACTGTTTTTGAGTTTGGTTTGTTATTGTTTTTCTACCTCATTGAAATACATTGATAGCTCATTTATTTGGTATCTTTCCAATTCTTGATATAGGCACCAATTGCTATATACATTCCTCTTAACACTGCTTTTGCCATATCCCATAAGTTTTGCTATGTTGTATTTTCATCTTTATTCATTTCCAGAAATTTTTAAATTTCTTTTCTGATTTCTTCAGTGACCCACTGTTCATTCAGGAGCATATTGTTCAGTCTCCATGTGTTGCATATGTTCTAGAGATTCCTGAGTTGCTGATTTCCAGCTTCATTCCATTGTAGTCAGAGAAGATGCATGATATGATTTTGATTTTTTTATTTGCTTTGACTTGCTTTATGGCCTAGCATGTGGTCTACCCTAGAGAAGGTTCCATGCACTGGTGAGAAGAATGTGCATTCTGCATTTGTAGGATGAAAAGTTCTGTAGTTATCTGTTTGGTCCATTTGGTCTATAGTGTTAACTCTACTGTTTGCTTGCAGATATTCTGTTTGCTTGATCTGTCCATTGCTGAAAGTAGGATTTTTTTAAAAAAGATTTATTTATTTATTTATTCAAAAGAGTTACACAGAGAGAGTAGAGGCAGAGAGAGAGAGAGAAAGTGAGAGAGGGCTCTTCCATCTGATAGTCCACTCCCCAATTGGCCACAATGGCCAGAGGTGCATTGATCCGGAGCCAGGAGCTAACTCCAGGTCTCCCATGCGGGAGTAGGGGCCCAAAGACTTGGACAATCTTCTCCTGCTTTCCCAGGCCATAACAGAGAGCTGGATTGGAAGTGGTGCAGCCAGGTCTTGAACTGGCACCCATATGGGTGCCAGCGCTTCAGACCAGGGTGTTAACCCATTGCGCCACAGGGCTGCCCTTAAAGTGGGATATTCAAGTCCCCGCTACTACAGTGTTTGAGTCTATGTCTCTCTCTAGATTCATTAACATTTCTTTGAAATAGTGGGTGACCTGCAATAGGTGCATAAACATTTATAATAGTCTCATCTTCCTGTTGAGTTGAACCCTTAATCATTACATAGTGCCTTCTTTGTCTCTTTTAACAGTTTTTGTGTGAACATCTATTTTGTCTGATATTAGGATGATTATACCAGCTCTTTCTTTGGTTTCTGATATCATGGAATATCTTTTTTCATCCTTTGACTTTCAGTCTGCATGTGTCTTTGTTGGTGAGATGTGTTTCTTGTAGGCAGCAGATAGATGGGTTTTGTTTTTTAATCCATTCAGCCAGTCTGTGCCTTTTTACTAGAGAGTTGAGGCCATTTACATTCAAGTTGACTATTGATAAGTAATGACTTGGCCCTGCCATTTCCCCATAAACATTCCTATTGTTTACTTTGGATTTCCTTTGTACTTTTACTGGGAGATTGTCCGCCCTCATCTTCTTTCATAGTGATGACCATGTTTCTGTGTGTAGTGCATCCTTAAGTACCTTTTGTAATGCTGGACGAGTACTGGCAAACTCACTGTTGTGGAAGGTCTTTATTTCACCTTCATTTGTAAATGAGAGCTTTGCAGAGTCCAGTATTCCAGGTTGACAGTTTTTTTCTCTTAGGACTTGGAATGTATCTCATTTCTGATGAGAATTCAGCTGTGAGTCTAATTGGAGAGCCTCTGAAAGTAACCTGGCATTTCTCTCATGCACATTTTAGAATCTTTTATGCTTTACTGTGGAGAGTTTGACTACAACGTTTTGTGGCGAAGATCTTTTCTGATCGTGTCTATTAGGAGTTCTAAGTGCTTCCTTTTTGGACATCCCTTTCTTTATGTAATTATTTCACTAAAATGGCCTGCTCATCCATTCCATCTTTCCACCCTTTCAGGAACTCCTAAGACCTGTATGTTGGGTCATTTGTTAGTATCCCATAAATTCCAATGGTGTTTTTCAGTTTTCCAATTTCTCCCCCCCCCTTTTTTTTTGTCCATAAAATTTTCAAAGGTTTGTTTTCTAACTTGGATATTCTCTCTTCTGCCTTACCAAGTCTGTTCTTATGGCTATCCATAGTACTTTTATTGGTTCTACTGAATCCTTCATTTCTAATAATTCCTTTTCACTTCTCTGTAAAATTTCAGTTTCATGGGAAAAAGTCTCTTTCATGCCATGTACAGGTTTCTTTAGTTAATGAATTTGCTTCTGATTACTTCTAGGTAATCCTGTGATTAGTTTTTTAATTCCATTTCTGGTGTTTTGTCAGTCTCATCTTCACATTCTGGTATTGAAATGTGTTCTTTTGGGGGTGTCACGTTGTCCTTATCCTTGTTTCTTGAATTTCTGCATTTATT